CATCCATATGGAATATAATCCTCTTTTTCTTACAATAAATGGAAATATATCATCTATATCCTCTTTCTTTCTGTTGATCACAATACACATCCATAGCTATTAAAAGACACATCAATATTCATTGTCATCATCGTAACCGTTTTGTAACTTTTTTTTTTCCATTTCTAACTCTTTTTTTTTTGGTCAACCTTCCATTTCTAACGTTTTTTATATGAATTTTATGGACGAGATTTGTTTCTATTTTTAAAAGAAAAAAAACATTACATATATGAATTAGATGGTTGTGTCATAAGCAATTCATCAAAAAGAAAAGAAATAATAACTCAAAAGCAAAAAATGTTAAAAGGTGTTAACATCGTTGGTTTTGTCACTTCTATGGTTTTTTTGTTGATCTTAACAGGTAATACATATTACGATCTATGAATCTCTTTGAAAGCTTATATATATGATTTGGGTTTGATTTTATGATTACTGTGTCTTTTTTTTAAATTAAATCACAGCTTTAAACATATTTAACAAAATTTACTATTTAATATATATTTAAAAAAATCCCGTTGTTCGTTTAAAGTTTGTGTTAGTTTTCATAAGATTTAAAGGTTTGTATAAAAAAGATCGAAAAATGTAATGATCATCTCACAATATATGCATTTTTCTTAACTAGAGGATTTGAACGTTTCTAAAATATTTTTGATCACTAATGCGTCAGGAATATCAAGAGGAGACGCACAATGTATGGCCGAATTACTAGATATTCCCATATTAACTGCAGCTTGTAATAAAAGACCTGACGGTGACAAAATATGCAATGAAGTTTGTAAATCAATCAAAAGGGTAAAATATACTGACGGTGTATGTCAACAGATGTATGAACAGTATTATAAGATAGGAAAAGGTTGCTATTGTCGACAGTGCTGAACATAAGCGCAACATTATTAATATTCATTATTATCATCCATCAATAATAATAAAAAATAAAAGTCAAAAGAACAATATAGTATTTATATCATATGGTAATTTCAAATCTTATGAGCAACAACAGTTTTCAATAATTTACCAAAAATACAAAAAAAAAATTATAATTTAAAAAATAATCAAAAACCCTAAATCCAATGATTTACAATTTGTCACATAGCCCATTTTTCATAACCTTTTGATTTTTTTTTTTTGGTTCTTCACCAAAAATACTCTTTTCAATATCAGTATTTATATTATATATACTAGGACGAATAGTACATTTTTACGTTATTTTAATTTTTGTTTCTTTAGATTTTTTATTTGGTATAGTGTTTAATTGTTTATAGTGTGAGAGAAAGAATGTTTGGAAGTTTAGATTACTAAAAATAGAAATTGTGTTTTGAGTTTTGTTTTGTTAGCTTAAATGTTATGCACCCGCGCGGATAAAACATCTGAAAAAATGCAGTATTTGTGATTCGATTTTTTTTTAACGGATATCTAATTTTTCGATTTGCTTTGCTTTAAAATTTTTTGGATATCCGGAATGACGGATATCCGGATTTTTTTGGATATTTGCGGATATCCGGATCTTCGCGGATATTTGTTTTAAAAAAAAAATTTTAAACACCATAATATTTTTTTCAAAAAAAAAAAATTAATATAAGATTTAAACTAATTAATCAATAAATATATGAAATTAGTCTAATTTTATTCGAGAAATTGTTAA